CCTGGGACGGATATGTGCAATGAATGCTTGGGTTGCTGCAGAGAGTCTCCCCCTTCGGGGACTTTTTGTGCAGGGCAGAGGGGGGCAGAAATTCCGTCTTGGGGGTCTGCTTCAGCCTCCTGGTGTGGGGCTTTGGGTGGAGGCTGGAGGGAAGCACCACTGGTGGAGAAGAGCCGGAGGGCCTCGTTCCAGTGAGACAGCATCATGGCCTGGAACTGGCTGACATCTCAGCCCACTCCAGGGGTTGGAACCTGGCCTTGCACTCCCGCAGGTCTTCCCTCTGCTTGGAAAGCCCATGCTCCTAGTTCTCAGTGAGGTGCTTCTGCTGAGTCTCCTTCTTGGTCAGATCTAATTTGAACTGAGCTCTTTGGCCAACTCTTCCTCACGGTGGCTGCTTAGCTCCAGCAACTGCTTCCTGTTGGGGCCCTAAGAAGCCCGGGCAGGGCAGGCGAGGAGTGACTGGGAGGGGAGGGGCGAGTAGAAGCTGTAGAGGTGACCATGAGTGACATCAAGTTGGCCACCCCCACCCAGTCACATGACCACCTAACTGAGCCCAGTCAGCCCGTCATTAGGCAAATCATATTAATGGTCTGCTGGATTTAAAATGATGAATGTGGTTCCCCTGAGGTCCGAAAGGTTGGGACTAGAAGACCTCTGAGGTCCCTTCCAACACTGCTATTCTCTATTTTGTAAAAGAGCAGCCTAGCTCCCCCCCCCCCCACTTCCTCTGACTTTCCCGGCCTTTGCACTCCTTCAGGTATCGCCAGGATTCTGACCCATCTCCCTCCAACTCTGAGGCCGAGACACACAAACACAAACACAAGAAGAAGAAGAAGAAGAAAAAGAAGCGGGCTAGGAAATCGGAAGAGGGCGACGAGGCCTCCGCCCCTTCCCTCCCCAAGCCAGCCGCCCCGCAGCAGGTCAAGGATTTCAAAAACTGGGAGACGCCCAAATCATCTTCCGAGGCTTGTCGGAAACACAGCCCCACATCCTGCAAGGAAACCCCTTCCGCTGTTTGGCGGAAAGCAGAATCCCTTGAAAGGAGTAACAGGGATGGCTTCCACCCACAGAGGGATCACAACAGTGGTGAGTACGGGACCTGATCCGTCGGGACGGGCGATCCTGCTCGGATGCTCGGAGAATCGTAGAGTTGGAAAAAGTCCAAGGCGCACCATCCGGTCTTTCACAAACTGGGCAATTTTTAAGATGGGTGGACTTCTCTTAACACCTAGAATTGCCGTATTTTTCAGAGTATAAGATGCTCCGAAGTATAAGACGCAGCTAGTTTTTGGGGAAGAAAACAAGAAAAAATCTGCCTCCTGCCTCCCAGCAATTTGCCTCCTTTTTATTTCTATTCTATTCTTTTCTTTCCTTTCTATTTATGTTCTATCCTTTCCTTCTCTTCCCTTTCTCCTTTCCTTTCTATTTATATTCTATTGTTTCCTTTCTCCCCCTTCCTTACTCCTTTCTTTTCCTTTCTATTTATATTCTATTCTATCCTTTCCTTCCGTTTCTCCTTTCCTTTCTATTTATATTCTATTCTTTCCTTTCTCCTTCTTCCTTTCTCCTTTCCTTTCTTTTCCTTTCTATTTATATTCTATTCTACTTACTCTACTCTACTCTACTCTGTTCTAAAAAGTGTCAGGCTATTAAAACCTCTAGGCCCAGGATGTCAAACTCGATTTCGTTGAGGGCTGCGTTAGGGTTGTGTTTGACCTGGCATAGCGTGGCCAGGGGGCGTGGCCAGCATGATGTCGCTTGTGTCGGGGGGGGGGGTTGTGTAAAGCACTCTGCCACCTGGAACGGTCCCCTGCAACCCTTTGCCAATGAAAACGGAGCTCAGGAGGGCCAAACACAGCTCTCGTGAGCTCCGTTTTCGCTGGCCGAGGCCCCGCGGGCTAATCCTTTGCTATTTCCACGGTGGCTCCGCGGGCCAGATCCAAGCACCCCATGGGCCGAATCCAGGCCCTGAGTTTGACTCCCCTCCTCTAGGCCTCAAGTTTCCCCAAATAACATTGTCGTCTTTTCTTTTCAGATCCGGAATGTCCGTTGGAAGTCCAGCTTATAGTGTATTTATAAACCGAGGGGGCCCCCCTGAAAAAAAAACCTAAAAACTCTTTAATATTCATAATTGGTGCTTCAGAAAAATACTGTACAGGATTTTATCATTGAAGAAAGCCCCTTTTCCTCCTCCTCCTCCTCTTCTTCTTCTTTTTTTTAGTTTTTACCTTGAGTCTTTCTTCTTTTTAAAAAAAAAACAAAAAATTCTCCGCGATTCCCCCAAACACAACAAGAGGACGGACACCTCCTTACAGAACATTGCAACCAACCTCCCCGATCTCCCGGATCGTCCGTGTCACCGTGAGAAAGAACGCCCTGGATCCGAACATCTCAAAAATGCTGCTGCTTCGTTCCACCACTCAGGTTGAATATGTTTATATATTGTCCACGTGATGTTTGCCTCCCGAGTCGAACCTTGTTTGCCGCGCGGGGGCCCAGGAACCTTCCCGAATTTAAGCAAGCCTGCAACTGATACAAGTGTCTATTTAATTTAATTATTTAAAACATTTCACGGGCAACTTGGATGTTTGCGAGAGAGAGAGAGAGGAAGAAAAGAGAGAGAGAAAGAGAGAGAGAGCGCGCCTCGGTTTATTTTTTTCCTTCCGATGTCTGCTACTAGAAACTCCCACGTCAATTTTTCCTCCCGTTGGGATTCCCGTCTTTGGAGTTTTGTGAACTGCGTGCCGTTCAGACGCTTGGCCGTGTTATTTTTGTTTCCTTTTGAATGTATCGTGGGACGTGTCCGAAGATTGCTCGACGAGTCCGAGGACGGGAGATTGCAGAGGGTTTGAGCAGCCCGTGCATTGTGGGGAAAGGCTTCCGCGTCCGTTTCCCCCCACTCGAGTGTCTCCTTCTGTGGGTGTTTTTCTTCACCCAACCTTTGCAGGATATGCGCCTTTCGGAACCGTCGCCTGCGAAAGCCACTCCTTTCGTATTTCTGGCCCTATCCTTCCTTTTCTGCTTTTCTTCCCATCCTCTGCCTTGGCCCTTGGGCATCTTCTTAACCTCTCTCGCAGAGTTATTATATCGCTCAGGTTGTCCTGTATCTGGACTTCTAGCCTGCCCCCAGAAGTAAGCGAGGAAAAACAGATGCCGGGATCTCTAGTATCCGCCTGGAGAGGAGCCGTTTCCATTTTTATTTTTTTTAAAAATCCGCCTCCGTTTTTTACTGCATTAATTTTTCAATGTAGCGATGTTACGTCCTGACCGATCTCGGCTGTCCGGTTCTCGATTTCCTTCCAAGTTTCTAGTTACAGACAACGTTCATACTGTGATTTCTTTCTCTTTGTTTCTCTTTTTTTTTTTAATTTTTATTATTATTATTTTTTTAATGATGAAATGCTATCAAACTGTGATACACTTAATTCACTGGTCCTGCATCAGGAGACAAGAGTGGGGAAAACTGTATTAAATACAGTTCATCTGAATAATCTGTCTGATTTATACAAGCTGCGTTGTTCAGAGATGTCTATAAAGTTTGATCTTTGTTTTTTTAAAGATAAAAAAAGCACTTACCCCACTTGTAAATATATGGCATGTAAAATTTATATAGTATATAAATCCGAGAAATCAAATCAAACAATGTTTCTGTTGTTAGTTCAGTTATATCTGGCTGTAGCTGATGGGTATAA